GGCCTCGCTCCTCGTTCTTCCCCTCCTCCTCCTCCTCCTCCTCCTCCTCCTCCTCCTCCTCCTCCTCCTCCTCCTCCTCCTCCTCCTCCTCCCCCCCCCTTTCCCTCCACTTGGTGCAACAGTCCTCTCCAGACCCTCTTTGGGTGACTGGGATCCGAGACGGGAGGGTCCTGAAGTAGCGCCCCCCCGTCGAATCCCATCGGGGCCCTCTTGGGATACCCTTGGGGCCGTCTTGGCACTTTCCTGAGGGGGCTGTGTTGGGCGATCTTGGGGCCATCTCGAGGCCTCAGGAACACAACGCAAGTGGACATGCGAGAAGGAACGTAACACTGAAGCGCGCTGTCTGTTCTGAAGATGTTGGCCTCTTCGGGGGTATCGTTGGGAGGCTCTGTATCCACTCGGAGCCGCCTTATGGCGGTATTGAAGCCTCATGACAGCATGCTTGAAGCATGCTTGCGCCACGTTGAAATACGTTGTGGCTTCTCCTCAGGTGGACATCTTGAGCGATCCGAGGCCGTCTTGGAGCCATCTTGGCGCATCTTGGACGCTTCTGTGGGTCTCACGCGCTCCCCCCGTCCAGACTCAGGGGGGGGCTTTCCCTTAGAATGGCCAGTTCGCCCCTCCGGGCTCTCCCCTGCAGTGGCGTGTTGCCCGCCTGCCCTGGCCTCGGCAGGGCAAGGTCAGGCGAGGCAGTGTCCAAGACAGCCACCCAGATGGCAGGCAATGGTTCCAGATGGCCGCCACTTGGCCTCCAGGAGGCCTCCGGATCACCGCAAGACGAACTGGCTCCAAAGGCCCAGAGCTCTTCACGCTCTTGTGGCTGTGGGGCGATGTTGGCCGTATCGCATTCCACCCTTACAGCCTCAAGCTGGCCGCAAGATCAAGATTGCCCAAGAGAGGAGGAGGAAGAGGTTACACTATGCGTAGGAGGACGAGAGAGAGGGGGACCAGTTAGCGGGCGAAGTCAAAAAAACTTGTCCGTCACCAGGGGCGCCTGTCCCAGGCCGGCTGGAAAGTTGTTACCCAGACGTGCCACCGTAGGGGTATAAACTTTCCAGCCGCCCTGGGACCAGTCGGCTACACGCAAGAGTGACCCTAGGCAAGCGTGACCTTTGGTGCGCGGCCTCACGGGGGACGCGGGGTACCCAGACCTGGGCGCGCAAGCCGCTGCTGCCGCTGTGCATTCAGCCATCTAAGCATGAAGGGGATTTCCTCGTGGACGCTGGCGGCGTCAGGTGGGAGGTGGTGAAGGGCCACGGCTTGCCGACAGGCCTGGCGGAGACACACTAGGAGCAGAAGGCGGAGGAGCCTTCGGAGCACGAGGAGCCCTCCGGAGCCTGAGGGAACGAGAGGCCCCTCGGAGACCGACAAGGAGCCAGACGAGGTGGAACCGTATGAGTTGGAACAGTCCGAGATGGAGAATGCATCCGACGCGGATGACCTGATCGCGCCCTCGACAATTGGTCAACTGGTCGCAACATGCCTCGACGGACCGCATCATGAGGCCAGTCGAGCGGGCGTTGGAAACGTCGGTGAGAGCATCGCAGCGCTGCTGGCAACTCACTTGATCAAGAAGCTGTGCCAACCACGCTCCTCAACGAGGCGCTCCGTGGGCTCCGAGGCCGTTCGCTCAATCAGCCACACGGCCTCGCGAGCGCATCTGGCTTCAGCCCTGCGCGCGGGAGCCGTCGCACCAGGCACAAGCAACTGCGCAGCCTGGGGCGGACACCGCCGCTCTCTATCTCCGGAGGTGCACGGGCCGGCCACAGGGGGAAGGGGGGGATAGATCCGCGGTGTTGTTCGCCCCTCCCCTCGCCCTCGCCCCCTTCCTTCTCGATGCGCTCGCGCGCTTTCTGCCCCTGCTTATTTTGCACCCCTGCAGCCTCCTGGCTTGCATGCCCCTGCCACCTGCAGCGCCACGCACCAGCCCTGCACCGCACGTGGACAGGAGGCCGCGCTGACGACCCAGGCCGGAGCGCCCCCAGACCCTGCACGAATTGGCGGACGAAGGGCAGTATGAGGTGGCACGCGTGCCCTGGCTCGTGCACCAAGGAGCTGCGAGAGACAAGGGGCTTTCGCCTCCTTCCTCCAGGAGTTTCCCTCCGTGGCCAGGGGGGGGGAGGACGAACGACGAACGAACGAACGACGACGACGAGAATAGAGAGGTCCGAGCTCTAGAACACAGCTGTGCAAGATACTCAACTGTTCCCGAGTCGGGGACGCCTGCCCCAGGGCGGCTGGAGAGTGTGTACCCCGACGTGTCACCGCAGTGTAAAAAAAAGGTCCCCGCCGCCCCGGGGCGGGCGCCCCCCCCCCGACGGCGGAAGGGTCCCGCACCAGCCCTCTGGGCGTAGGCGGTTTCGCGAGCTCTGTCCTCTCTCCCCCTCCTTCCCCTGCTCGGCGGAGGGGGCTTGCCCCTCCCCCGAGCAGGGGAAGGCCACGACGACCCAAAGCCCACGGCCTCCAGAGAAACCTCCGCCAGATGCCCCTGGAGGTCCCAGGGGCCCCAGCCCCAAACGCTTACACCTGCACGAGAGCCCCCACCCTCGAACGACGACGGCGATTGCCACGGGCAGCGGCGCCGGCGCGCCCCGCAACTGGTCGTCCAGAGCGTTCGCGGCGCACATGCCGTAGTGCAGCCCGCCGCCGGTGCTGCAGCCGGCCTCCCCCGCGCTGACGCGCAGTGCGGGGAGACGGGAGCGTCCTCCTGCCTCCTTCCTCCTCCTCCTCCTCCCTCCTCCCTCCTCCTCCTCCTCCTCCTCCTCCTCCTCCTCCTCCTCCTCCTCCTCCTCCTCCTCCTCCTCCTCCTCCTCCTCCTCCCCCTCCTCTTTGCTCCATCCACCTCCTCCTTCCTTCCTCCCTTCCCCCTCCCCCTTACTCCATCCACCTGCTCCCCTGAACTTCCAGGATGGCTGAAACTTAATACGAAGACATCGACGTTCTAATTCCGGTCAAGGCTTCAAGCGGTCCATATAGTTCTGTAGGTCTGGATTGCTGTTTTCTAGCCCTCTGGAAAGTCTGGGTCCTCCATTCCTCCTCCTCCTGCTCCTCCTCCTCCTCCTTCTCCTCCTCCTCTGGGGGCTGTTTCTGGGCTCTGAGATCGTCAGGAGACGACCCGGGGCGAAAAACGTGCTTACCACAAATGCAGAACTTCCGCAGAAATCCACACCAGGACTTCATCGGGCTCCCGAGTCCTATATGCCGAGGTACTTACCGCACTCCGCCATCTTCAAGGTTGAAACGTCCAGTCCCATGTGTAGGAAACGCAAAGAAGTAGAAACGGCGTCGAACAGCTCCGGGGAACTGATCTGGCACTTACTGAGGCTCAGGTTGAGCCCCGTTGGTAGAGTGGCCTGTGTGAGCAGCCCGACAAACATCGGGAGCACCTCAAGCTACTTGCGTGCTATCAAGTCGAGGCCGGCAGCGAACGCACGCAAAACCAAGTCGTGGTAGCGCTTCTGGACGAGCAAGGGTTCGACGATGGGGTGCGGGACAAGCGCGAACTACACCACACGGAGGAGGAAGAGGAGGAGGACGAGGCGGAGGAGGAGGAGGACCAGTGCAAACCCAAGACACATCAATGATGTTGCAATACACCCTATCATGTCAGAGCATCATTCCTCGGACTCCAACACCTCGACACACCATGACTGTCTGAATCCTACATTGTGCAAGCACATATTTTCTGGGACGTCAGCCATCAGAATCCATCAAACTGCTGTAAACTCTTGACACGACGGTGCACGACGATAGAGCGATAACCACGCTTTGAACAAGAACCGCCCTTCATCCGTGAAACCCTTGCACACTTTCAGGACGAATGTGCACGGCGCTCAGGAGAGAACCACATATTGGAAACGGCCCGCCCTCCATCCGTGAAGTTCTCGCGAACTTTTGAAACGAATGTGTGCGGCGCTGAGGCGACAGCCACATGTTGAAAACGGCCCACCCTCCATCCGAAAAGCTGTTGCAAGTTCCAAGCTGAAGTATCACACATGGTGAGGAAGTCTCAGGCGAAACGCCTGGCCCGCCTTGCGGACACGACTCAGCGTGCGACAGGAAGGAGTTATTTACAAGGGAAAAGGATGGAGGAGGAGGAAGACGAGGAAAAAAGGAGGAGGAAGACGAAGAAGACGAGGAATAATATAGTCGCTGATAAAGAACAAGGATGGATGATGAAGAAGGATCGAGGATCGAGGTTCGAGAAACATGTTTGCTGGGCGTTCATTGAAAGTCTCGATGGGCTCTGGGGCCTCCGAGAATCGTCTCGTCACCACAGGCATGTTCATCTCCTAACTCTAATCCACGCGCATCCCAGGACAGGTCCAGAGGGCAATCCTCTGAGGGAAAGAGAGGAGAGGGGAGCGGGAGGATACTTCGAGGGAGGCCTCCACTTGGGCCACAAGATTCGGAACGACCAGCAGCCACGAGTTGTTCTCGCAGCGCGAAGCCCAGGGGAAGGGCCCTCTCTGCAGTCGTGGCGCGCGCGCACGACAGCGACAGCGACAGCGACAGCGATAGCGACAGCGACGACAACGACGACGACGACGACGATGACGACGACAACAACAACGACGACAACGAACACGGCGACGCCGACCGCGACGACGAAATCACATCATGACTGCTTCGCGATGCGGAGCTCTGAGGGGGCCCTTTCTGCACGCGCGCGTTGCCCTCGCCACCGCCCGGTGATGCCGCCACCTCTCTGTGCGCGCGCGCGCCGCGGCGGAGGCCAACGCGGCCGGGTGTGCGCGCGCGGCCGCGCCGCCGCCGCGCGGGGCTGGCGCCAGCGGCCCAGGGAAAGCCGCCCTCCCAGGGGCGCCGTCAGGGGGAAACCAAAAGGTACCGATACCTCTACTCCCAGGACCTCTCCAGGGGTGCGCTCTGACCAGGATCTCGAGGCGAATCCAGCGGTGGCGACGAGGGCCACCCGGGAGGCCCGAAAAGGGGAGCACTAGGGAAGGGTAGAGGTATGGGTACCTTTCCCTCCTCCTATG